GAATGTAGCCAGTCAACACCATCCACCGTCAATTCTTGGGTTACTCTTATACCAACGGATGGTGGGATTTACACGGATGGTGGGATTGACCATCACCTTATAAAGCCCTCACGTCCCACCGTCAATTCTTGGGTTACTCTTTTACCAACGGATGGTGGGATTGACCATCACCTTATAAAGCCCTCACGTCCCACCGTCAATTCTTGGGTTACTTTTTTACCAACAGATGGTGGGATTGACCATCATCTTATAACGCCCTCACGTCTAAAAGGGTAAACATGTTCGGCGATGGAGATTCGAACCCGCGACCTGCGAGTCTGGCGCTCTAACCACCAGGCTATGCCCGGCTTCAAACAGACTTATAGTGCATGTAAACTAATTTAAAAATATTCGATCACATATGAAGGTTATCTGTGGAATATTTTCACTGCATGAAACCTTTCGTTCACTGTAATTGCGATTGGCTAGAGAATGAAACAACGCCTTCTGCCTTTGTGATATCTTAGATAACTCCGAATATTCTATACATACAATAGTAGACATTTTTAATCCGTCTTTCTTTTTTGCCCAGTCCCCACGTGTAACCTTGAGTGCATATAACGCTAAAAATCGGGGTTCGATTATCACGATGAGCACAGCGCAGACATCCCACTGTATTACTCAGCGCCTAAAATGTATAATTCTGAATGTATCAGTCACACAAGTTTACGTCTGTTGTACATAGTAAAACTTGTGTTTATTTTATTCTCACCGTTTCACTAGGTTTACCTGACATCATCAGGTGGCATACAAGAACTGAGGCTAACGGAATTTAATTTTAAAAAATGAATCACGTGAGAATATCTAACAATAGTAATCTACAAGCATTCGACTGACCAACTGCAAACAATAAAGTAATTTATCAGTGAACTGTCAAACTTAGGATAATAAATACAATTTTTAGGTCTGAGTTTAAGTACTGAAATTTGTTCTACATACAAGAGAGAAGGGAATTAAAATAGATATAAATGAACACCTTTGTATTTATTAAGAATAGGTTTATGCTTCTTATGAATAGGGTTTCTTTTATTTTTTGTCTATTAATTTTGTCTTCTCTGCTGAGGATTTTTAACTGAGAAAAATCCAAATAATGATTTTTCCTAGACATGTGTTCAGAAACGTGAGATGGAGATTTTAAATGGTGCCACGAACGAGTAGAAAGTTATATGTTTGTGTCACCAATATAACACTTTTTGCAATCTGTACATTCAATTGTATATACATTCCCTCAAGTATCATTATCCATATGCTTTTTGGATAGCAGTTAACCTAGCTTTTTTCCAGGTAAAAATGTAAATTGTACTTTAATGTCCGGTTTATACTCTCTGGCTGTTTTTATAACCAGATTTTTTTATAGCATGAGATAAGTTTGGAATGAATGATAAAATACAAGTGACAGGGACATCTTTGGAAGAATCACTTTCTGTGTCAATTTGTGACTTATTTTCAAAAGAGGCAGTTACTTTATTGACAACAGTGGGAGAGAAATTGTTTTGTAAATCTAAGGATTTTATTATTTTTTTGAAACAATCGATATTGGAACTTCTGATTTTACTCGTACGGATAGCACCTTTTAATATGCTTAGCTTTTGGCATTTGTTACGAATGGAATTCCAAGGAACATAAAGTTCAGTGTGAGAGTTTTTTACGAAATACGGAGGTTTGGAAAACTGTATTTGTATTTTTAACAAGAACATTTAGATATTACAATTTGTCATCAACTTCTGGAAAAAGAAGTTGTGAATAAAATAAAAAAAACTTTTATTATGTACAACCGCTAAAAACGTGTGTGATTTTTACATAGTTCTTTCTAATATTTAATTAACAGAATGAATCATCAATACTACTTTCTGACATTGTTTTGCGTTTTGTAGGTACTGTGATGCCACCGAAAATGATTGCTTTTGGAAATGGTATGTAAAAGCACTTTCCAATGCAAAATATCCATAAGCACAGATCATAAAATATGATGAAGACGAGAATATCTCTTGTACTTAATGACATTGGAAAACAAAGAACTATGGATCAGTTTGGGGCCTCAGGACCATCCGGAAAGAGACCTACAAAAAATCGTACACCAACCGTGGTAAGCAAAGTGTAACGTCTTGTAACAGGTGAGAATTCACAAACATAAAGGTCAGTGACAAAAGCCATCCACTTGCCACAGGCAACAGTATTCTACATAATCAAGAAGGATCTCCGTTTGGAAAAGGCCCCATTGGTTCTACGATATATGTGCTCAACCATCTCATATCTCAAGTAGCTGGAGAATGAAATGGGTATTCAAGATATGAATCTTTCTTACATTAGATGGATTATGGAAAGCTAACAAGAAGAAGTGGTTTCGGTATGGCCGTCTTACGACAAAGCCTTTTGCATTGAAAACTACGCCGAGAGACTATTTTCAACACGCACAGTCGTCAGACAGAGTTTGACTGGGCGTGGCGGTATAAACTGTAACGATGTGGTAAGGCTACAAAACTGTTTTAGTATAATGTACTTATCCTTTTGTGCGTCTGTGATATGCACCTTGACAAAAGCTGACATCACGCGAGTGACAAAACAAGAAAGAGTATTTTATCAATATTTTCAAGGTCCTTTAATCCATTGACCGTGGCTGCTTTAAACGCGTGGAATTTTTGCAAGCTTTACACCGTATACGACACACTCATATTCAACTGCTGCAGTCAGTGGGTTAATAATTAGGGTAAATTACTTTTCTGGGTTAGTATATACATAGCTTTCTAGGAAAATGTCACAAACAATAATTATCATGCACTATTTCACATTAAACGAATTTGTGCATGCTATGCAGGCCTAGTTTTGTGGTGGAACTCAATGAAGTATTTCTACACTTTTTTAAAACAAGAAGATTTTTTTTTGTCGTTGTTGAAAACAGCATCACGACAAACAAAGTTGTTTTGTTGTGATATCAAATGCTTCCAAATTCGTTTTCAGTTTGATCTCCGCCTCATATGCCACTGCATGTGTTTACAACGCCCCCTAGCTTTCCTAACTGGATTTTGCTACAGAATATGTTTGAGTTCCTGTTCTTTTTGTTGGTACAAAAATAGCACTGAGATCATGTACTTTTTACTTTACAACACATTTGTGTAATTTGGCCAACAAATATAAGGAATCCAACTCGGAGATAACTTCATCCCACAAGTTGAAATTTCTTACATTACAAATCTTAATAAGGAAGACTATATTAGTAAAGTTATACACACCAGTCGCGCTTGTAGATATATCGATGATATTCTTATGTCGAAGTTTAAAGGCTTTCTAGACACAGTCGAACGAATTTATCCACCAGAGCTCACTCTAGACAAAGTTCTGTCACTAAAATCAAAGCACAATATTTGGATTTAGATATGAGCTTCATTAATCAGGGTTAACTGATATGTGGTGAAACCAAGAATAGATCGATCCTCGTGTTTCTTTTTTACGAAATTTAAAAAATTAAAGAACACGGTCCGTTTACCAAAAGGATGCAGAACTTTGTATCAATAAGCCTTTTAGTTTAACGTGTGTGGCTAGCATGCATAGTGTTTTTACTATCAGGTGGCTGTGGTACTAACGGTCAAGACATTTTATTTGGTGTTGCTGGAAGACGTGGTTCAAACATAAATTATTAAAGTTATATAAAATGTGTTATGACGATACCTTCATTATTTACATACTCAATACTATGTTTTGTTAATCTTGTTTTTAGAATTTTTCCACGCTTTTTCAAATTGTTGTCTAATAATATAAGCTTCTACATACTCGAAGTAATTACACTCTAAATAAACTAGAATAGATATCTATTTCTTGTATCAATTTAGTCTTTTCTCGTGCCATTGAGGCACAGCGGTATGTCTGCAGACGTACAACGTCAAAATCCGCGTTTTGATACCTGTGGTGGGTAGAGCACAGATAGCCCATTGTATAGATTTGTGCTTAACTACAAATAAAAGAATAATATGCACAATTCTAAGCCCTCCAGTAGCACAGCGGCATGTCTACCGACTTACAACGCTAGAAACCAGGTTTCGATACCCGTGGTGGGCAGAGCACAGATAGCCCATTGTGTAGCTTTGTGCTTAATTCCAAACAAACACAATTCTAAATTCCAAAACTCGTGTCAAAGTATTCTGAAACTTAGACAAAAATAAATAAGTCAATAACTAGGAGTTATTGTGCAAAATGAGTGTAAGAATCCTATGTAATACGTAGCAATGTGTTGACAGTGTTAAGGACAAACATAACTCCGATATCTACAATATTTGATAGTGACGAATATTGAAGGTTTGATAATAATTATTAGTAATATTTCGTTATGTGTCTGATAACGAAAACCATTAACAACGAATAGCACCGTATTGAATTCTCAACAAACACGAATATCAGTTTACGTTATTGGTCGCGTTTGAGTACAAGCAGACTAGTAGAACTTTATTTGACTTATAATTTAAATGAGATTTATCTAACATTTTGATAATGCGACTTTTCGTGATTAGATTTGGCAAATTTTATTAAATTCATTATAAGTTAAGTAATTTTTTAACGAGCTTGAAAAATATAATCATGAAAATGTGTTGATGACAGTGTTTTATAGTAATCATATAATTATGTAAATTTGGCGATAACATAACAATGTAAGTACAGCACTGAGGCAACGATATAAATATGGCAATGACTTAACAGTGTAAGTACAGCATTGAGGTAATGATGTAAATATGGCAATGACGTAAAAATAATACGTCATTGCCATATTTACATCATTACCTCAATGCTGTACTTACATTGTTACGTCATTGTCATATTTACATCATTACCTCAATGCTGTACTTACATTGTTACGTCATTGTCATATTTACATCATTACCTCAATGCTGTACTTACATTGTTAAGTCATTGCCATATTTACATCATTACCTCAATGCTGTACTTACATTGAAATATCATTGACACATTCATGAAACCATATTAACGATTTTATTGTTACATTCATATCCATCTAAGGTTCAAATAATTGGCAAGGTTTTGGATTCGGGAAATTTCACAAACTAACTATAATCAATTCTTTCAGCCATATTGGGCTGGGCATGCTCTAATGGTTAGCGTGCTCGAACTTTGAACCTTAGGATTAATAGTTCGTGTCCTGTTACCCAAAATACATACTCCGAATTTTGGGGCCGAAGATGCCCAATATGAATGACAGTCAAATTCCACTATTCAGTCAGACAAAAGTAACCCAGGACATGACAGTGAATGTTGCTGACTACAAACAAGCTTAGCTACATTTCCATGACGTCACATGAAGATCAGTTAAAGCAATCCGAGAAAATCGTTCACTCAAAAAATATTACTTGCGCTGTTATGTTTAAAATGACAACAGGAACTCCTCGTCGAGGGGGGGTTAGTTAAACTCCACGAAACTACCTATAAGCTTGTACCGCCCTGCTAAAGAATCGCACAAATCTTCCCGAAAACAGACTAAACCTGCTTGAACAGTAGATGTGTCAATTTTATGCTGATATAAATATGGATGTTCATAAGCACCACCATGTTAATTCTAAGACCCCGTGAGTGAGGTTAAAGTAAATAAGAATATTATACGTTAATCACGCTACATTTGCCTTAACCAGTGGCGACGAGGCCTTTCGCTCTATATCAGGGTTCATCAGGCCTGCTGGAATACAACAGATATAGAGTGATTTAGGCGCTTTTCATGAACAACAATTGTCATGGTATGAACTAGATGAAGCTAGGGAATTGTAATTATTATATATTTTTATTTTAGCAATTTACAAATTAGATTTTTAGGTTAAGGATTAATAACATAACATTGTTTATTTTAACTTAACTTTTAACACTGATTATTTATTTCTTTTCTTTTCTATTGCTATTATTATTTTTATTCTACTGAATTCAACTTTATTGTCATTTATAAGAACACAATAATCCGGGTTTGGATCCAAGTCATCATGCCATATTAGTTTTTCCTTATTCCTATATAGTGTCCTGTCACAGGAATAAACAAGAAACCAAATTCCGGACCCGTGCAACGAAGATGAGAAAAGAAAACTACAAAGAATACAAAAAACTCCTAACATATTCGACAAAGAAATGAAAAAGTCAAGAAAGATTAAAATGTGTTACACATATTATTTGTAGAGCTTAAATATCGTGATGAAATAAATATTTATTGTGCACATAAGACTATTGGCATTATTAGATACAAAGTTGTGTTTGAAAGCCAGCACAAACTAGAACACTAAACAAAAAATCGTGCTGTAAAAACAAACAATAACTGGAAAAAGTCATCCTAAGAATGGAACTTATATTCACATACTGATATATTTTTCAGCCTCTACTTCTTTAACACAAGAAATTAGGATACCCTCGGAAGTTACAGTTAGGGTGTGATAGACAATTTCACAACAAAATCGATATATATACAAAAAATAATAAATTTTAATGATAACTCCGAATATAATACAAGTTAAAGGATATCAGTGAGAATTTTAAATGAAATGAACCATGTCATCCAGAACTATAATATAACACTGAACGTCATTTTGTTAAATTAACTTATTACTGAAGTAAACATAAGAGTCAAATATAGAATGTTCAAAAGAGTTCATCGCCTATTTTACACTGACCAGCACATAAAAATATCCTTCTAACATCAATAGAAAGCAGGTGACAACAATGCCCATGGAATGAGTCATCTAGAGGAAGATGAAACTTTAATCTTTTCTTTTCGGGTTACATATGAATGTGTTCCTTTTTTACGCAATATAAATTTCGTTTATACATGTTTACATATTTACAATATATGTACACACACATATACACAATTTTTACTCACAGAAGATATACTGAAATACACTTCTATTTCAATTTTACATAACACTTCAGTTAATTTTGATACACAAAGCATTTGAATTTGTTTTTTTTTATTATCTGGAAACACTTGAATTTCTTCTGATTATCATTGGATTGACCAGTAGATGAGTTTGACTTTCGGTCAAACACAGTCTCGGTCGAGGAGGTGCTAATTAATACACCAGACCTAATTTTAGTAAAGTCTGTTTGTTTCTATGAAGTTAAGCACAAAACTACACAATGGGCTATCTGTGTTCTACCCACCACGGGTATGGAAACCCGGTTTCTAGCGTTGTAAGTCCGCGGACATGCCGCTGTGCCACGTGGGGGGGGGGGGGGCTTTTAGGAAAGGATTCGCCGTCAGATGACCAAGCCATTTCTGTTAATATAAGTCACATAACTAACAATAAACCTAATTTCTTTACCAAACCATATATCTAACAGTGTTCAGACAAGATTGGTGAAATACGTCATCTTGAAGATGTTAAGGAACAGATGCATCACACAAGATTGATGAAATACGTCATCTTGAAGATGCTAAGGAACAGGTGCATCACACAAGATTGATGAAATACGTCATCTTGAAGATGCTAAGGAACAGGCGCATCGCACAAGATTGATGAAATACATCATCTTGAAGATGCTAAGGAACAGGTGCATCACACATAAACATACAAACTTGTATGACTGATACGTGTTGACTATAGCAGTGACATAAATGAGAAACATATATAAATAAATAGAACATTACTTTTATAAAATTATTAAAATACTTGGGGGGAGGAGGTTGGAAAAGCATAACATATAAATTTCATTGAGCTCACATTCACAACAGATAATATATGATGGGTTATATTCTAAATTCCATTGTTTAAATTATATTCTACCAACGTTAAAAAAATGTTGCCTGTTTGTTTGATCTAGTGCAAAGCCATATTGGGTTATTTGCTGTGTCCACAGTGAGGAACCGAACCCTAAAATTTAGTGTTGTAAATCCCTAGAATTACCGCTGTCACACCGGAGAACATCTTTTGATATTGTATATATAACAATGAATAATATATTGTTTCATCCACAACAGAAAAAATGGAAAAATTATCATAATATAACTGAACCTTTAGCATAACTTCAAATGTTCCACCCCTAATTCTGTTAGTATAGTAAACTGAACTCGAATTAAACAACCTATTATTTTAAGTTTGCTTTAGAATCTTTAATATTTAGTTTTATTAAAGAACTCCAAACATCAATTCCTAATTGCATTTGCTGTATAGCTAATTACAAATGGTGATGCACAACATCTGGCATACAATTGTAAATATATGAAATACAAGATAAGTAAAGACTCAGTTATCTCAACATATAGATACTTCTTACAATTAAAAAAATTGCTCACATATCGCAATAAAGTTACGGTATTCAAGGCGAGCTGTAATATCTTTTATATCTGCTAGTTAATTAGGATAATGAAAGGATGCTTAAAACAGGCAACAGTATCGCTTCTAATTAGTTTTTGTATACTTCTCACAAGCTATTACTTTCGACGTCGCATACGAGTACCAGAAGGCTTACCAAATAAGAAAGAATATCTAAAAAAACAGCCTCCCAACGGGGAGGGCCAAAAATGATGTGACAGCTTTTTATCTATTATTTATGTTGTTTTTCTAATGACTGATTAATAAACATCCAAAAGTATTATTATTTGCAAGAATACTATTCATGTTAGGAATGATCTATAAGTATATATAGAGTAAAATGGATCGTATATTTATACATATATATATATATATATAAATGACTCATGAACTTCTGTTAGCATTGCAGAATACATATTTTAAAATAACTCTGGTCAATAGAGCAACATGATATAACCATTATCTAACCATTAGGAGCTATACTGTCGCCATCTTTTGACTATAATATACACAACCTTTTATTCGCTTCTTTTTAACATAAAACATTAAAGAATTTTTGAAAACGATTCAAGCCAGTACTTTACATAACTTTTGTCATATATACGTACACACGTTGTTAATAGAGGGAGCTTTTCATGTATTATATTAATATACGTTGGTTCGTTTTGAGAATGATATTAACGAAACATAAAAAATAAGTTCTAAACTTCATTACTATTTATCATAACAGAATGTGTCAGTTTTTAATTATATCACGTAAAGAATCGTTTAATTCTCCAATACTACAAGCATAGGTCGTCGTCAAAAGCTTGCATAGCAATTGTGTGAAGATCTGGGACTAGAAACACTGAATATAATTCAGCCAAAATGTTTTGACGTGATAATTATTCTGCATAAAAATAAATAAAAACAATTGTTTGTCAAAATACCCCACAACATAAATAATTATTTTATCGGAGACAGATCTTTCTGATTCATAAAAGTCAGAAGATCTCACTATCGAAATCAAAACGTAGGATTACTCAGACGATTTCAAAGAATAAAATCAAAATATAGGATTACTCAGGTGATCTCAAAGAACAAAATCGAAACATTGAATTATTCAGGTGATCTCATAGAACACAACAGAAACATGGGATTACTCAGGTGATTCTATTGAATAAAATCGAAACATGTGATTACTTAGGTGATTCATCAAACAAAATCAAAACATAGGAGTACTCAGGTGAGCTCATTGAGTAAAATCAAAACATAGGATTGCTCAGGTGATCTCATAGAACCACATAGAAACAAAGGAATACCCAGGTGATCTCATTGAATGAAATCCAAATATGGGGATTACTCAGGTGATCTCATTGAATGGAATCCAAATATGGGGATTACCCAGGTGATCTCATTGCATTAAATCCAAATATGGGAATTACCCAGGTGATCTCATTAAATGAAATCCAAATATGGGGAATGCTCAGGTGATCTTATAGAATAAAATACAAATATAGGGTTAATCAGATAATCACATAGAATAAAATCAGTACTTAGGATTACAAAATTTTCAAATTTTGTAGTGCACGTTAAAGGGATTTACACATTTTGATAAAAAAGGTTAGAAAAAACGACCTTTATACTCCAGATAATTACATTTAAAAAACATTTTATTTTAACCAACGTTTGACCTTTGCAGTTTCATTAGGGTTAGTACATACAACTATTTGATATTATAATCCTGACGAAGCCGCAAAAGCGAAACATTGATTAAAATAACAAGTTATTTTATAATAATGATTATTAAAGGTCGTTTTTTTCTAACCTTTTTATCAAAACAATTTTCACTTTGACATTCCTCATTCAAAAGATGGTTATTGAAAACCATCCCAACTGTTTTGATACATTTAACAACTTTAATCTTATGAGCATGAAGAGAAAAATACTTTTCAAACATAACTTTTATTCATAACAGCACAAAGTGCTGAACATTTACCTAATGTGTAATCATATGTCAACCACATTATAACCACTAAATCCAGTGCCGATAAGGCCTATCGTCAACACCAGGGCTGTATGCGCCGGCTAGGATACGACAGACATAGTAGTGAACGAGATGCTATTTATATTAATAAGTTCCTTTAAAGAAATTAGTATCTAGTGCCACATTTAAATGTGTTCTTTATATATGAGTAACTACGTATTAGACTAGAGTTATTCGTTCTGTGAATCACGAGGCAAGTATCCTCTCTGAATTGATAGTTGTGTGAACGTTATACGACTGTGTTCCTTACGAATACAATTTAAATACTCGATAGATCAGTCTTCAAGAAGATATAGACTTGTCAGTCCTTTTCGTCGATACCGGACTGGTAATTCCTTTATCAAAATTCGTTGATGACACGTGGCAACCTGGCGTTTTTGTCGAAGTCTTGGAAACTCCTAGTGGCGTACAAGAGACAGTGATGCTCGGAGTGGCTCCGCTAACTCCTTTACCACATCTCCGATGATGGTTCTCCCAATCTTTATGTTGGCAAAAGGTACCACAATATCGAGCTATATTGCAGCCACTACAAGTCTCACTAGCTTTTCTTCCACAATTCCAGCAGTTCTGTAAAATGAATCAAAAACGTTCCAATGAACATTGAGTTTAAAACGTTCCAATGAACAATGAGTTTATCTCCTCGCTATTGACGAGATTAGAAGAGACGACAGGTAACCTTTAATAAAACGACTCCATAATTAACGCAGTAATTTATGAACTAATTTATTAAATTTTCAGACTGTAATTTCTTCAGCCCCCTTTTAGCCTGTTCCTGAAAAAGTCCAAATAACTGTGATGAAAATATGGCTAAATATGGTAAATCATGACGATTTACGTCGGAAATGTTTTAAAAACAAAAAATCAACGCTTGTAACATGAATTATTTTTCTCCACCAAAACAAAACAGCTTACCAATAAGCCTCGTCTTTAATTCATTCATGTGTATTTCAATTTATTCGTGTGTATTTGAAAATTGATGTGCTGTATTATAATTCACTTTTAGTTTTCTTCTCTTTGCATTTTTTTTTAAATAAGTTTTACGTTATGGGCTGGGCGTAGCCATGTGGTTTATAAGAACATTCTATAATGTAAGGATTCGTGGTTTGCGATCCATTGCCGCAAAAAAACAAAAAACAAACGCAATCAGCACTTTACGGTCGTGGGTGTGTTATAAGAGTGACGGTCAAATCACACTATTCAGTCACACAATAGTAACCCAAAAGTTGGCAGTGGGTGCTGTTAACTACCTGCTTTTCTTTTATAGTCTATCAGTTCAAAATTAGGATAGCTATGCGAAGATAGTCCTTTATGTAGTTTTGCTCGAAAATTCTGAAACAAACAAAGATGTTTTAAATTGCGCACCCTCTATGGGTATTTTATTGAACCATTAACATTGAAACACTCGCTATCTCGTTGTAACTCTGCAAAATAACATACAGATATTGGTACAGCAACAGTTTTTACAGCAAACGTTTCGTTTACCAGATTTGCTCAGTGTTAGTGATTTCTTTCATAAATATGTTCTTTTATGCAGCTGTTTAGCTTGTGTATTTAAAGTCTTACGTTTCTATAGAGAACTTCTGAATGGACATAAAGAAGAATGTTTAAATATGTGCAACCACACTGTAACTGCTACATTCAGTGCCGACGAGGCCTATCGTTCAACATCAGGCGTGATATGACAGATATAGTAATGATTGAGACGCTATTTATACTAGAAAATTGGTTGAGAACAACTGATTCTGTCTGAACTGGATTAAGTTGATGAAGTGTCATTTTTATCTATGTTACAACACATAAGTCTTAGGGTAATAATTGTATACGCTTGTAGGTAAATTCTATTGTCTGTATATAATACAAAACTCGTACACCAGCAGATTTTACATTTGTGCTAGCAGTTTATTCAGGCCTAAGTCTACCAATTAGGGCGACTAGCAGTTTATTCAGGCCAAAGTCTACTAATTAGGGTGACTAGCAGTTTATTCAGGCCTAATTCTACTATTTAGGGTGAACTTGAATATATATGTTTGGATATGTACATCGTGGCATGAGATAACTCATTTTTGCAATTTTCATTGTAGGATACGTTGATACATGGTGCGGGGTAGTTATTGAAAATTCTCACTATTGGATAATAGGTTGGACATCTTATTCCTGTCATTTCTTATTGTTGTTTAGTGCATTATATAGCCTTCTTCTGTGGATTAGTGGGACGGTTAGATTATTGTCATAGATATTCGGCCTTGCATGGCCTGATGATTAGAGCACTCGACTCGTAATCTGCGGGTCGCGAGATCAAATCCCGTCACCGAAAATACCCATCTCTTCATCCATGAGGTTGTTAAAATTTGAAGGTTAATCCCGCTAATTGTTGGTAAAGAGTAGCTCAAGAGTTGGCGGTGAGTGGTATGGGCTAGCTGCCTTCCCTCTAGTCTATCACTTCTAAATTAGAGACAGCTAGCACAAATAACTCTTGAGTAGCTTTGCACGAAATTCAATAACAACAAAAAAAACAATTCACAGGTTTCAACTGCTAGTTAATGGGTCGGATAACTCACCCCTGTAGGATATCATTGTTGATTAATGGGTCGGATAACTCACCCCTGTAGTATCTCACTGTTGATTAATAGATTGAATAACTTACCACTGTGGTATTTCTCTGTTGATTAATAGGTTCGATACTTTACTGCTGTAGTATCTCACTATTGATTAATAGATTGGATAACTCACCCCTGTAGTATCTCACTGTTGATTAATAGATTGAATAACTTACCACTGTGGTATTTCTCTGTTGATTAATAGGTTCGATACTTTACTGCTGTAGTATCTCACTATTGATTAATAGATTGGATAATTCACCCCTGTAGTATCTCACTGTTGATTAATAGATTGGGTAACTTACCCCTCTTGTTTCTCACTGTTGATTAATAGTTTGGATAACTTACACCTGTAGGATATTCACTGTTGATTAATAGGCCGGATAACTTACCCCTGTAGGATATCATTGTTGCTTAATAGATTTGGTAACTTACACCCCTAGTTTCTCACTGTTGGTTAATAAATTGGATAATTCACCCCTGTAGTATCTCACTGTTGATTAATAGATTTGGTAACTTACCCCTCTAGTTTATCACTGTTGATTAATAGATTGGATAATTTACCCTTGTAGTATATATAATTGTTGATTAACATATTGTATAACTCAACCTGTAGTATCTCCCTGTTGGTAAATAGATTGGATAACTTACCCTTGTAGTATATCACTGTTGATTAATAGATTGGGTAACTCACAACTTTAATATGTCACTGTTGATTAACAGATTGGATAACTCACCTCTGTAGTACTTCACGGTTGGTTAATAGATAGGGTAACTTACCCCTCTAGTTTCTCACTGTTGGTTAATAGATTGGATAATTCACCCCTGTAGTATCTCACTGTTGATTAATAGATTTGGTAACTTACCCTTCTAGTTTCTCACTGTTGATTAATAGTTTGGATAACTTACCCCTGTAGGATATCATTGTTGATTAATAGATTGGATAACTTACTCCTGTAGGATATCATTGTTGCTTACCAGATTGGATAAATTACCCTTGTAGAATATCACTCTGATTAGATAACTTATATTTATGTATTCTTATTTTGGTTATCGTGCTGCATGTGCTACTTTGGAAAGTTGTTTAGGACATTAGAATACTTAGATTACTTATAAACACTTTGACTGTTGTTAGGCTTAGTTTTACGGATTACTATCTTATATTCAATTATTTATTTTAGTGATTACTTTGGTTAATGTGGTACACAACATACTTCTGTGGAGTCTTCCTGTTGATTGCTACAAGGTAGAAAAATCATTTCTCTGGAATCTTCTCGTTTATTGACGAAAGACAGGGATTCTTGAGTTTCTTGTCTCCTCGTCTCCGATAAAAATTGCTCTAATTTTGCTCTTTCCACAGCGACAAGCTCACTGGCTTTAGATTCTGCCAGAGAAACAGCCTTTTGTAGTTCAGCAACAGCTTGTTGTTTCACTTCGTTGACTGCTTCTTCTGTTTAAAATATTAGCATGTTATTCAAAATTGATATTAAAACTAATTTATTCCAAATTCCTTATCAGCAATTTTTATAACAGGCAAGTCCTGATTTCAATGATTTCAAGTCCTGATTTCAAGCTTGTCGTATCGTGTGATTTTCGCGTTATATAATGGAATGCATTTTTTACTGGTATTTTCAGTCTTAATCGTACTCGTATGGAAATACAGAATTCGTGTTAACAGGCAACCAGTTTTTGACCATTTGTTCAGCTGATTGTGAGAGAATGCTTAGGGTTAAAGACATTTTATTCATCCAAACTTTAAGACGTTCGCTTATTCAAACCAAACTTCAGAACCATTAAGATTGAAAATGTGAGTAAAAAAATGTATTATATGATATAGCACAAAAGTTATATGATACAATAAACTATAAAAACCAATGAAACTACCATTATTAACTTAGGTCTCAAATGCGAGTAGATCTGTTTTATTGAATACTTATTCTATTAATCTCTCCCCCTGATAAAATTAATAAAACGTGCAGTGTTTTATTTCCATTTCCATGTAAAATGGAATACGGCATTTACATAAGGAAAAAAAAAGTAGCTTAATATTTGAGAAGAAATAAAGAGCTCGTACTTTGATGTTTCAAATTAAGTCAGCTTCAAAATTACAATTATCTAACACTAACGAACTGCTCATTTGCAGGACTCGTCAGGGTGCAATATTTTATACGAGTAGCTCCACCTAGTGTTGGTTTCTAAACATTAGTTTACAAATATAAATAATCCCGTAAAACAAGTAAATAACAAATGACTACTCTAAGGGAAAAAATAACGTATACTCATAGTCGATTAATATTAAGTTGGTTGCAGGACACAAAAATCACGCTGCCCAGAAATTGCGTAATTCAGACTGACTTTCTACACAATAAAATTTTCACGTTTGTGAATACGAACGATTTGTTCGTGTAGAAAGTAAAGAAACTATGTCTCTCATACTTGTCAGTTAAGGTCTGAGCAAGAAAACTATTCTTATGAAAATATAAGCAGAGAAACAAAATTAATAATCCAAAGTATCATTAAAGCCATTCACAAATATTAGCCCCCCCCCAGTGGCACAGCGGTATGTCTGCGGACTTACAACGCTAGAATCAGGGTTTCGATACCCGTGGTGAGCAGAGCACAAATAGCCTATTGTGAAGCTTTGTGCTTAATTACAAACAAATAAAACACAAATATTAAAAAAAAGTCTACAATAGAGCAACATTAACCCTGATAACTTATTTGTTCAAAATTGACAAAGATATTCCATTGCATTCCTCAGTGACTCAGCAGTAAGCTTGGGGGCATATAATGCTAAAATTCTGTATTCGATTCCCCGCTGTAGACACAACATAGTTAGACTGCTGTGTTGTTTTCCAATTAAAACAACCAAACCAAATCTTCCACCGTTTCAGCTTCAATTTAGTCACTTTAACATACCTTAATTTCTCTAAATTAGTGTTTCCACACAACGTTTCACTTACACTTCACAAAATATATAGCAAATCTAATTTTGAAACCAATCCCTCAATAATAAAGCACGCAATCATACAGCAACGTTCAACCTCCAAAATAATATTTCCATTCCAGACACTTCAGTTGTGTAATTCAGGTACAACGATGTCTAAACGTTAGCCAAAAGCACTACAAAACACAGGTTCTGGGTAGTTAAGCTAAGAATAAATGAACTCCAGAGTTAAAAGGAAATATATCTATAGAAATGCAAAAACAAAAGTTAGCCAAAAACACTACAAAACACAGGTTCTGGGTAGTTAAGCTAAGAATAAATCAACTCCAGAGTTAAAAGGAAATATATCTATAGAAATGCACAAACAAAAGCAGAAATCTTTATTCATACAAAAAAGTGACTATATCTTTTACTTAACTAGCCGGCTCACTGCTTTCTGTTAAGCTCTACTACCTGTTATGATTAAGATCGACAGGCAGAAGATCTTACACGTCTGCACTGGACGAAGACAGAAAGAATTGTCTTACTATGCTTTTAGAGTTAGAAACAACAAAAAAAGCTCAAAAAATGCGGTATGACATAGTTCACTGTGTCACATTCGTCACCGACTATTGTAAAATAGCATATACGACGGAGAATTCCTCGGCTCATAATTTAGTACCGTATGTTACGGAATATAAGATGCACCCCCCCAAAACTTTGTCTTCAAAATAAGGGTGCGTCTTATACACCAAAAAAAAGTACAGTTGCATTTGAAAGATTTTTATTGAACAAAAATTCAGTTTGATATGTTAAAAATTAGTATATATTGTTCTAAACACAAAAGAGCTCAAAACATCAAAATAAGAAAATACTGTAAATCAATAAAAGGTTTACTGTTATTTAGTTTGGTTCAAAACCTACAAAATCTTCATTGCTTTCACTGTAATTTATTTTTTATTATTTAGGGAGCATTATAAATAGTTATTGTTATAAATAACACATTCAATTGAACTAAACTATGCATGTTTATCTAAATATATTTACACATGGCTTGTGTATATCGTATATATACATATATATTATTCATACCTTCGGTGTATAGGACGCAAGCAGATTTTGACATCAAATTTTGGGGTAAAAAAGTGCGTCTTATACACGGAAAAATACGGTAACGTTTTTAATTTGAAATGCTTACGATTGATAACTAAATAAAAATACATAAGATAAAAGTAGCCAGAAACTTTACCATAGACTGTCAGAGTTGCCTAATTCATGCATTCTTATACACCGAAAAATACGGTAAGGTTTTGTGGGTCACCAACTTTGTTGGTTACAGGGCCAGTAGTTAAGGAGCCTAACATGTGCCCTAACGAGCTGTCTCAGTCGTGATTTTGGTAAGGGGAGAGGAGGTCGGCAGTGAGTGAAAATCAAAGGGTGACTCCCATCCTTCATCTGTAAACCTGTACAAATACGAATCGAAAGAATAAGACTAGGCCTTGTCCAGGCTTACTGATGGTTGATGGAATTCCTCGAAACCGGTATAACTCAGTGACAAGTGGTAATTCTATTGATAGATTAGGTTTAACATTTATTTTAAAATATTTCAACCATTTTGTCAGCTGAATAGTTCATAAGAATAAACTAGTTGCATCAATGATCCATATTATTGAAATTTCTGTATAAATATAGAATCACCGTATGATTAAAAGACATCACGTATAAAATAATACAATATATCCAAAGGAAAATAGACAGTAAGACTGTACTGGAAAGCACTTTTGGACTGGACTTTTTCAGGACTTTGATTTATTGTGCTTTTGGATTGCTCTCTGTTCTTCAAGTTATTGAGTTTTGATGAGTTATATTTCTCGAACGCTTGTTTGTTCTTTTATTTTACTCTCACTATATGTTTCTGTGTTTTGAAATCCATGCACTCTGGATTCCCCGTGTGGTGGAATGCCCAGGAAAGTCTGAGGTGACAATCCTTTCACCTAGTTGTCACTGTGTCAAACCATGTGATCGATCTGCCTTCCACCCAAAACTCTTCCATTCATCTCATCCTTACTGTGCTGATATGGACCTTCTCTTCTAGCGTGTGTGTACCTTCTGCGTCTGCTGTTACTATCATTTGCAGATGTTGTTGCTCCTGTTCTTCCTACCACCACATCATCTAACACTTCGACTGGTCTGCCTTTTTCGCCAAGTCGTCCTCGGAAATCTGCTCGTTTAGATAACATTTCTATTTTATCCTTTTCTCACATAGATCCTCAATTTTACTCTACCTGGTCAATGTAATTGGAAATTACGAAATGCTGCCGCCAGGTCGATATTCATCAAATTATTCTGACCCGCAATAGAGACATCATTAAGAATTACGATAATATACTTCATAACACACTTTCTCGTCAAATGAGCACATTAAACCTGAGTCCAAACACCTTCCTTCAGAAACTCAGTTCTCCGTCTTTCAAACAGCAACCGCCACCTAAACGATCTCCACTGTTTTCACGTGTTATTCATGGGGTGGATTTTCTAATCACTGAACAGGACATTATCTTCGAATTGCTGGAGAATAAGATCGAGGTTCATTGAGTCATCAAATTAAAAATGTCCTAGGTCTGACTTATCTGATTCATGTTCTTTGTTAAAGCAGTGATATCAAAGGCGTCTTGAACGCCTCTTCTTCAACCACTGTGTTGTGTAAATTTCTTGTGTCCCAACTCTCACCCACCTGCAAAATGCCCTAACCCACCTGTTTTTCCACTTTGTATGGGCCTACATTTTGTCAGTTGGAATTATCTTCATTTTATTGTACTTGCCTCTAGAACCATCCTTAATATTCTTACAGTTGTCGTATAAAACCTTCTCCTAGGCTGGATGGTCCTTCCATAGTGGCTCCAGTCAATACCTTTGACCCAGTGACTCCTCTTTCAAACTCAGTTTTTACTCCTTCTACTGTAGAGGACATTATTTAACGTCTTACCTTTTCATCAGCTGATGATATTGAAGATTAGCTATGGTTTTC